ATAATTGCTCTTCTACAATTGTATACTATATGACAAAACAGTGCTAAATGTGTAGTATCCATCTTTCGGATAGCACACATTTAAAATACCATGTTTAAGTCATTTTGGACCCAAAATGCCACTTATAATGCTGAAGTCGCACTTGGGGGAAGAACAAACAAAGTCCCTTATCATCTGGGTAAAGAAAGTGTATTTCTTTTTACTTTACTTTACCTACTTCCCACTGAGTAAAAAGAATAATGTGAGTCAACTCATTATGCTTAATTCATTCTCACTTTGGAGGAGGCTTTGTTTCTCCCAGTGCTGTTTGCACATTAGTTCGCTGTTACCAGGGGATGTGTAAAAACCAACTTTGGTAAATTGTTCCAAAGCCCACTACTTTTTGCTCTCAATGACTACTTTTTGCTCCGAATGAGTCAACGAGACAGTGTTGGAGGACTGTTTGCACTCTTCTGGTTCCTGAGGGAGTAATAAGTCTAGTCACGATATCATCCAGTTTGTGGGCTGGCAGGCTGTCCGTTCTTCCCCTTGCTGACATGTCTGGGGTGCACACTTGTCATCACTCCTCCTCTCACTCTCTTGAACAACATTAGTCGTACTAGGAAGAAGCTGATGAGCTAGTTGAGGAGAATTACCTTCTCTGATCTTGTTTTTGCAATTTCCGAGCATTAAGCTGTATTAGAGATTGTGTGGCATCTTACCTGCTCTTGCTGAATGCTAAACTGTATAATGTTGTTTAGGCTCACCCTTGATTCAATAATAATGGATAATCTCAATTTACTATAGATTTGTACCTAGGAACTGCAGCTGTAATCATAAGGACTGTCCTGTGCTCATTCCAGGACACAATTGGCTGTATTCAGAAGTCCAAAAGATACATCAATATTTATGCTTATGGCTCACTTTAAGTTAAATCATAACTTTCTCCATAAAAAAATTGGTGCATGAGATAAGCACTGTCTCCTCCAATGCCCTTCAAGTGCTGTAAACAGACAATACTATTCATTAATTAATAGTGTCACATTTATTTATTGTGCCTCAATTGACATTCTATCATTTTTTTTAACATATTTACAGCCCCAAAATTAATTTTCAGTATGACATATTGTGGTTACATATTGTGATTGCGCAACTCTCATGTCTGAATAGTACTTAAGTCAGGAGTTACGTTTGAGGTCTGAATACTGATTTGTACAATTTTGGCAATAAATTCTCACTGTGTGCTTAACTCAATTCTGAACACGGTGCACGATGCTTATACTGAATATCTATTTAACACACTTAGTACTGTTTGACTTTATAGTATACCATTGGAGAAGATTAATGACTTATAATTACAGCTCCAGTGTCACCCACAAGAGGATGGGCTCCCTTTTGGGTCTGGTTCGTTTGAAGGTTTCTTCCTCATGTCATCTCAGAGAGTTTTTCTTTGTCATTGTCACTTCTGGTTTGTTGATTTGGGATCTGAATATACATCTGGATTTCTGTAAAACTGACAAGTCATTGACATGCATGTTGCAAACAGTGACTATATACTTGTTTTGATGTCATAGCTGGCATTTAAAAGTGAAGCCAAAATGTCTCTGAGGGCCTTTAGTGGCTGGCTAGAGTACAATTTTTAACCCCACCCATTCCCATGTTACCCAGTAGGAAAGGACACAAACTTCCATTTTAAATTGTGTCTCCACAAATTAATTTGGGCTATTGTGTTCTTCATTTTTTCGAAGTTCAGGTGACCCTGATATCACCCCCTATATGTATCCTTACGATAAAAGCGTTTTATATGAAAATAAATAAAAGAGCATGGCTGATGAGGTGACTGACAGTTTTGGACATGACATTTGAACAACACGCACCTAAAGCTCTTGACAGCTCTCTAGCAATGTCATGTCTTGTTCTGCTGTTAACTGTTGCAACAGTTCATCAGTGGGGAGTTCTTTGCAGTTCTATGTTGCTCATTTATATGCATTGTTGTACGAATATAGTATACCCAGCAAACCAACGTGAGCGAACAAAGTGATGGCATAATCCAAGACTGCGAACACTAGCTAAATTTCATGAAAATTGATTGACCTTAGTGAACACTTGAACTGACTTTAAGGTTAGTCAATCACTCCTTTTTAGATGTACTCCACCAGGAGAACAAGTGGGGCTTAAAAGAGCTCTTCTCCATTCAGATGGGTAAATTACTGCATGTGTCAGAGGGAGATGAAAATCATGGAGAAGTTGTGTTGATTGTAAATGTTGTTTACCAGAACATCTTCAGTATCTTCAGCATATTACATTAACAACTTATGCTTACCTTTCAGCTGCGTGATAATTAAAGTCATTTTGACTTACTACTACAGCACTTACTTAAAGACTGACCTTTTGTGTAGAGCTGGAACCATCAAGACAAGAAGTGGTGTGATGATGACTATGGCCTCTGCTCTCCTGGCTGGGAAATTGCACCATTTTTATATAATGGACTAAGATCACTTCAGCATTCTGTCTAAAATAGACTTCTAGGAGCTTTTGACTTCGAGCTTGCTCATAGCTCATGATTATTTCCCCCTTTCAGCACTTTAAAAGGCAGGCAGGAAAAATCTGCTGTGCCTGTGTGCAATCACGAATTAAACACTACTTCCCATTATATCTTTGACCTTACTAAAGCCAAGCTGACCAACCAAATGACTGACGTACATCAGCATTTCTCACGACAAGGCATCAAGTCTCACCTGCGACCATCAAGATTAAGCATAAATTGCGTTTAAGGGTAAGTAGCTAAATGCAGCCACCTGAAAGTTGCTTTTGCCCTTTCTGTTGAAGCTAATTTGAATGGACATTAATCTACTAGGCATCTGTTTGTTCACAGTCATTTTAACCAATGCAACTTGGCGTGTATAAATTTGATACCACAACCATTAGGCTTCATATTTCAGTTAATAAAATAAGGCCATCTGGATCTGCTTTGGGACACCATCTTAATCCAGTATAAAATGATCTTTTTTCCTCTCTTCTCTAAACACTGGGAACAATTCAAGCTCATTCGTGCACTAGACCTACTGCAATGTTCCATAAATAAAATGCGGATGTTTCATAATCAGATTAACTCTACTTATTTCTCATGTTGCAAGTGAAAGAGTACCTGATAAAATTCTAATTTAATTTCCTCACTTATATCCTCGAGGCATTCCTCTGAATGAGGAAGTAACAAATGTGGAGAGTCTGAAGCTCTGTTGTGCTCTGTAAGCATTAATGTTTGATAATTATTTTGGATATTGCATTATTATCAATGCGAAGATGAACTCGGTGAGTTCAATGAGCTTGAGGCACGAACACTTCCGTGTTCTTCTTAATGCTGCCCCTGAATTTCCGGGTTCATTCACTACCCTCACAATAGCAGTATATTACTGTCTGTCTCGGCAAGAACTTCCGAAGATGAACATTTTTCTTTTTCTTTTTTCTCCCCCCAAAAACATCTGTATTTGTTTTTCACTTGAAATTTTTTAGTAATTATATCACATTAAAAATGGAAAAAAGGTCTGACATGATTTATCTTGGTTGCATTTTTTACATCACAAAAACCTGCAATTTTAAAAGAGTTGTGTAGACTTTGTTATATCTGCTGTATATATTCAAACATTTTTGTTTGTTCCTTTATTTTTAAGCTTCTTTAGGTACAAGTTCAGTAGATAGACTCACTGTTTTATTGACTCATTTGTTCATTTATTTATTAGCATTATTAATGCTATACATGTGTATCTACTGTACACTATCTAGCTTTCAGTGTCATCACTGCGATTTGCAAGGTCAGTAAGGGTTCATATGTATGTTGGCATTAATTACAGGACAGAATTAAAGGAAATAATTATGTTTTTAAGTAATGTTTTGAGTAAGTTTTGTTATTTAATAGCTTCATTGGTTTGTTATTTAGCAATGTTGTGGCAGCTTTGACTAAAGGACAGCCAACTACTACATTACTCATATACGCACCATTTTAAGCCACCATGAGATTACGATAATTCAGATGACTCCAGAAATATTTGCATAAGCAAAACAATCTATAAAATGAATAATATATTTAACAATAATTTTGTCAATGATGTTAATAATTTCTGTGTTTGTTATTTGCATTACATACAGTACATACAGTACTATTTTTATTTTACTATTTATATACTATTTTATTAAATATTCTTTTATATATTTTAGATTTTTTTTTTCTTGTCACTGCTATATTATTATATTTGCCTATTTTATTATTTTATTTTTGACTACCTTTTAATTTCTTTTTATTTCACACTGTAAAGCATTTTTAAATGTATGAAAGGAATTAAATGAAAAAGTTTCTTCTTCTTCTTCTTCTTCTTCTTCTTCTTAATATCTCTTTATAAATTCATGTCAAACTGCTTTGCGTATGTGTGATTTGTACACTGAGTAGAATTCAGTATTCAGTAGTCAATATTAATTGATTATATTAATGTCTCTTGGGGTCCATTTAGATATGTCATCAAATTTGCAGCCCA